AACGGCAAAGAGACTCTTGATTCGTCTACCACTGGGGATATTTCACGTCCGCAATGTGATTGTTGCAAGCCGATGTGGATTCGTGTGTATCGACCAGCCATCGCTGGGATTCGAACCCGCTTCATCTCATTGGAAGGCGAACGCTCTTTCCTATGAGACCCAGAGGCTCTCATAAGAATCTTCTTTTTTAATATGTTACAACCGTCGTTGAGAAGCCAACGCAATTTTGGATTTACGACTACTAACGTTCAACTCCGTAGCCTTGTAATTTTAAACCCAATCCAGAAGACAAGGGAACTCCTGGATCAAGTATTGGGAGAAATTTGCCTTCGTGGAAGACATTTTTGAGGAAACTAACCCGCACTTGCGTTGCATGGAGAGGAAGACCATGAGAACTTCCCACGGTTAGCTTAACGGCAAAGAGACTCTTGATTCGTCTACCACTGGGGATATTTCACGTCCGCAATGTGATTGTTGCAAGCCGATGTGGATTCGTGTGTATCGACCAGCCATCGCTGGGATTCGAACCCGCTTCATCTCATTGGAAGGCGAACGCTCTTTCCTATGAGACCCAGAGGCTCTCATAAGAATCTTCTTTTTTAATATGTTACAACCGTCGTTGAGAAGCCAACGCAATTTTGGATTTACGACTACTAACGTTCAACTCCGTAGCCTTGTAATTTTAAACCCAATCCAGAAGACAAGGGAACTCCTGGATCAAGTATTGGGAGAAATTTGCCTTCGTGGAAGACATTTTTGAGGAAACTAACCCGCACTTGCGTTGCATGGAGAGGAAGACCATGAGAACTTCCCACGGTTAGCTTAACGGCAAAGAGACTCTTGATTCGTCTACCACTGGGGATATTTCACGTCCGCAATGTGATTGTTGCAAGCCGATGTGGATTCGTGTGTATCGACCAGCCATCGCTGGGATTCGAACCCGCTTCATCTCATTGGAAGGCGAACGCTCTTTCCTATGAGACCCAGAGGCTCTCATAAGAATCTTCTTTTTTAATATGTTACAACCGTCGTTGAGAAGCCAACGCAATTTTGGATTTACGACTACTAACGTTCAACTCCGTAGCCTTGTAATTTTAAACCCAATCCAGAAGACAAGGGAACTCCTGGATCAAGTATTGGGAGAAATTTGCCTTCGTGGAAGACATTTTTGAGGAAACTAACCCGCACTTGCGTTGCATGGAGAGGAAGACCATGAGAACTTCCCACGGTTAGCTTAACGGCAAAGAGACTCTTGATCCGTCTACCACTGGGGATATTTCACGTCCGCAATGTGATTGTTGCAAGCCGATGTGGATTCGTGTGTATCGACCAGCCATCGCTGGGATTCGAACCCGCTTCATCTCATTGGAAGGCGAACGCTCTTTCCTATGAGACCCACAGGCTCTCATAAGAATCTTCTTTTTTAATATGTTACAACCGTCGTTGAGAAGCCAACGCAATTTTGGATTTACGACTACTAACGTTCAACTCCGTAGCCTTGTAATTTTAAACCCAATCCAGAAGACAAGGGAACTCCTGGATCAAGTATTGGGAGAAATTTGCCTTCGTGGAGGGCTTTTCGATGGAACTTACCCGTACTTATGTTACGTGGAGAGGAAAACAAGGAAAACCTCCCGCAATTAGTCCGACGAGCAGGAAATTCGTGCATCAGTCACCATATACTACACGGGGAGTCTTTGGCCGGCAGGGATCGAACCCACGATCTGTTGGGCATGGGTCCAGTGCCCTACGAACCAGGCTATCCCGGCCTTCTCATTAGAATATTTTTTATTTTATTTTATAACAGTCGTTTAGCAGCCGACACAATTTTATGAGTTTACGACTACTAATGTCGTTCAACTACGTAGCCTTGTAACTTTGAATCCAATCCAGAAGACAAGGGAACTCTTGGATCGAGAATTAGGAGAAATTTGCCTTTGTAGAGGACTTTTTGATTTAGCTAACCCATATTTGCGTTACATGAAGAGGAAGACCATGAGAAACTCCCTCGGTTAGCCGGATGGCAAAGGGACTATGGCGGAGGTTATTGTCCTTCAGTAGCCGCCAATACTCGTATTGTGGAAAATAACTTTATGATTGTTCATTTTGGCCATTAATGAATGGATTAAACAATTAACAGTCTTCAGGAAAGAATATACAAATTGTTTAGTGCAATTTAGATTTTATTAAGCATAATTGGTGATATAGAATGTACACTCTAACATCATCCCAAAAAAAGGGAAATCTCCTAAAGGGATCAAAGCCAATATTCTCACACAGAGAGATTACACAGCCAGAATATCATTTCTGACGGTTGGAAATTGAGACTGGGGAGGCCCGTAGGGTCACTTTCCACAAATTTGAAATTAAAAGTGAATATAATTATTCCTAACGGACACCGAATGTGTGGGTAGGAGATCCAAAAGTGGCGAATTATCAAAATATAACATAGCCAAAACAAAGCCAACCAGCATATCAATATTGGGTTTAAAAGAACAGCTTGGCGATCACGAGTCCCCAACAAATTTATGAGAATTATTATAATCATGCAACATAACATTTAGCGGTTAGAAATTTGGAATAAAAAGTTATAAATAGATTTTTGTTTTCAATTAGAGGCGACAGTGAATTAATAAGTCTGCATTAGTAATGAAAAACAAAGTATCCGTTACATTGATCTATGCAAAAGAAGAATAAATATTTTCTTCTCATTTTAAAAGATTAAGTCTTTGATTTATTTTAAATGTAATTCTATTAATAAAAATAAGCTTAAGTAATGAAAGATATTTTAAAAGGGTAGAAAATATATATGTAATGCCGATTGTGGCATCACAGGGTCTCTAACCCATAATCCGTCTACCACTGATGATATCTCACGCCAGCACTGTGGTCGGTGCAAGCCGGATGCGGAATTCTTATCGACTGGGATTCGACCCCGGTTCACCGCATTGGAAGGCGAACGCTCTATCTCCTGAGACATCTCTCTCATTAGAATATGTAGGAATTTAAGGTACATGATTTTTTTAAAAAAATATTCTTTAAGCACTATACCTACTAAATAGCTTACAACTTTCAAAATATTTTGCTCATTTGTTTGGCTGCGATGCCATATAGTTTTGCTTGGAATAATGCATAGGAGATAATTTATAGCCAAAAAGATTCTCATTTGCCCAGAAATGAAAGATTAACTTTTTTCCGTTAAAAAAAATTAAAAAAAGGTGTCTAAAGTTAAGATCTGGAAAAGGTGTAGACTTCAGTCTAAATGTTGGGAGCCAACATTTATAACAATCTCTGTCTCTCCCCTTATTTCATATTTACGCATTCAACTTTTTGAGGAACTAGTTTATTTCAGAAAGAGTAAAGTGCATGAAAGAAAGTAACCTGCAATAGAAAATATAATTCGTTTTTCAACCAATAGATGGCATATATCATGCTGAGAAAAGAGGTTATGGACATAAACTGGTTTTAAAATATCACTGTACAGTAAAGGTGGTAGTCGCTATCGTAAAATATAAAATTATTCAACATTGCACCAAGAAGAACCTCTTTTCTTCTCCTAGTAGTCCATAAGTTAACTAATTTTTTTCGAAGTTTTACCTACTAATATAACCTATGCACTCAGGTGCAACGACAACCATCAACCAAAATAAACTCTACTTTAATCAAAATAGAATTTCGCTAATTATTACCCTCCTGTACGATACACTGTTTCACGATGTTTTTATTCATTTTAAGGATGACTTCCTAAGATTGCCACTTAACACGTGGTTTACTTTATCCAATGTGAGAATTAATTTTGGAGTAGATTCATATCACATTTATTATGTGATTATTGTGGCGATGTTTGTGTTGAATAAATACATTAGATTGAATTACTTTTATGTAATAACATCAAATCAATTCATGAAACCAAAATATTTGCCAGGCATAATTTATTTAAACATTTAGTGCATACCAAATAACATATTACAATCACAACACAATACTATGAGAAAAATGTAAATTCAAACTAAATTTTGAAATTTCTGTTTTTTAGAGGTAATTGAAGCTTAATTTTTTTTTACAAAATATCTACACACTGACGCTTTAACTGATATTAAATTTTTTAATCATTATTTATACTAAAATTATAAGTAATGATTCAAATATTGTTATAGTTATTTCAAACGCTATTCATTTACAAAAGATAATGTTAATTTCCAGAAGATGGAATAGTTACAAAGGAAAAAAATCACAGTCTTCAACCCAGTCTATCATTTAATTTCATTAACTCATTAAGTTATACAGTCAATGTCCTTATGAAATTTCAAAAAAGAATTTCCTGCTGTTATCTTTCACAATATTATCCTCCACAATAAATAATATATCAATAATATTATTTCTTTTATTAATATTCTCTAGTAGAAAAGGTTAAAAAAAATCTTAAATTTAATTAGTAAAAGTTACATTACAAAATTGTAATTTATAAATTGTTATCATAATAAATTTTTGATTTCAATAACTGATTATTATTTATTTGAATTATTTTAATATCACTAAAAATAGTTTTTTTTTCTGACTAGGTAGAAGAAGCACAGAAGTTGATTCTTTTTATTCGAAAAAAAATATTAAAATTAAAATTTAAATCAACAAATATAATTAATTAAGTAGAATATATTGAGAAAAGAATCAGTTCGATGACAAGAAGAATTCCGATCCTTATCCATTAAAAGGAAATAAAATAACTTTCTTTAGTACAATATCAAATATTTAGCTTGTTAAAAGTGTAATATAAAATCTTTCTCAGAATTTAAAATGATTTAAATTTAAATTAGTTATAAAATTTCATATGAAATATTTTATTATTTTCAAATATTTTTACAGAATAGAAAGAGCTTTCATACACTGAGAAAAAATGTATGGTGGAAACTATCAAAATATGATAAAATTTACCGTGTTTCTGGCTCTATGGAAACACCAAAACGTTCTGTAAATTTTACCGAAGCACTTTGGTAATGATTATGGCAAAATTTACACTAAAATATAGTTTAACGGTAATATGCGATTGAATTTGATGAATATGGTAAAATTTGGTAATTTTATCATACTTTAGAGCAAGGCGTAAAGACCATTCATTCGATTAAATTTACTTTTCAGTTTTTTATATTTTACTGAATGTCTGGTAAAAGGAATTACAACTTTGAAACAAGAATTTTCGGTAAAATGATATCTTATGAACGGAAAGATTACCAAATGAACGGTTTAATTTAACCAGAAAGGTTATCACCATACAATATGGTAATTTCATCAAGCTTTTTTCTCAGTGTTGCATTCAAAATTTAAAAAATTGAACAAACCAGTAACTGTAACCTTAAAAAATAAAAGAGTATCATAGACAAAGAAGTTTATGTAATCATTACGTATAATCAGAACAATACACCTATTATCTAACGCTTTGACCTCAACCAGTCAATAACAGGAATAAACATTGCTCCATACTTGAATACCCTACTGTTCCGCAGTTGTCCCCAATATGTAAAAGATATCTTCTTATAGTGTTTTATTGCAGATTATAAATTAATCTAGTCTTGTATGTGTATTTTATTCTTCTTATTTAATATATTTGTCTCCTCCAACCATTCCATAGCCACCTCCCATCATTTTCATGCCTCCTGCCATCATCTTCATAGATTGTAAGCCACTTCCAAAGTGCGCTGTTAAATAAAATATATATATATTTATATAAATTAAAATTGGGAATGCAAGACATCTCATAAAAAATTTATTGAGAATAAATAGAAGGTTTGAAGTAATGTGAGTTGCTTCAGGCAAAATCTTAATAAAAATATTCTCTGGTTGGCTATATTTAACTACGGTTGATGCAATCGAAAAGAAAAAAAAACCATGAATGCAATCTCTAATGTAAAGGACAATTGTTGACTGGACTGTATATGCAAAGTATAACACGAACCTAATTTCTAACGGATAAATTTTCTCGTTAGCTACAATAAAGATTCTATGTGCGGCATATTACTAGAAGTTCATTATAATGTAAAAAAGTTGCCATTACAATTCTAATCTTAAATTTGTACGATTTGGAAACGATTTGGACAAGATTTGGATTTTTCCTGTCGTAAACATTTGTGTCTTACATAAAGTACAGAGCTTCGACTACAAACTAATCTAGGTATTTATTTTAAATTAAAGTACTTATTCAAAATGTAACACTCTCTACTCCAGCTTTTAGTTTTCCCCCTGCTATTTTGACATTAAATATTTGTACTAAAGCTACCCTTGCAGCAAAATAACGTGGGCCCTCATTGGGCCAATGTTCATGAATCTTGGCACAGTAAGGGTTCAAAGGGCCTTTATTTTTCTGATATTGGCCCTATATAGAATTTTCCGATTCAACCGATATTTTGCAACCACTTTACAACCAATATTGGTCCTGTATAGAATTGTCAGATTCACCCTATTTTTTATATCAATTATTTAACCAATCTAGGTTCTATATTGACCAATGTAGGCCTTATATAAGTCATTTTACGACCTATATTAAAAAATTTAGACAGACCAATATTGGTCCCTCGGTGCATATTCTTATAAGACCCATATCGAGCCATTTTAAAAAGAAACTGGGGCCAAGGTAAAATTGTTCCTTGGGTAAAAACAACGCGTATAAAGAGCAAATGAAAGTGCATAAATGAACATACTATAGTTTCAGTTTTATGAACAAGGACCTTTTTCAGTGTTTAAATTCCAAATGATGATAGAGAAGTAACGAGACAATAACGTGCTAAGTGGTTTGGCCAATAGGGACAGAGAAGCTTATTCTTTAGTTGACGTAACAATAAGTATATTTTATCCGTTGTTGGATAGAATATGTGTATTTGGTAAAATGGCAAGTTCGCTATAGCGACAATTTCATTTGCTATTATGGCTTGTTATTATGACTTGTTGTTATGGATCTTTACTATACATGAGTACAGTAAAAACTCGATTATCCGAACCCCTATTTTCCGAATTTCCGCTTTAACCGACCTATAAAATATTTTTGGGATTTTTTTATTTTTATTTTGGTTTTACATTCTCTATTTTTTAAACTACTCAAAAAAAATTAGAACTTAAAATATATTTTCATAAATATAATATTCCGGAGAAAATTTCACTGCTAGTAGAGGATTATTAGTTTGAGGGAGGAAAAATTTTTTGGAATTTGGCAATTAAATATGTCGGGAGAAAAATCATCGGTTGACTGTGATGAGGTGATTAAATTCGAAGAAAGTTTTGAAAATCTCATTGCAAAAGAAGAACTGAAAATAGTGCAGCATTTCAATTGGGATGAAATAGGACTGAACCTAAGAATGTTTGCACTCAAAAGGCTTCGAGATGAGAGATAGAGTCCTGAAAACGAGGCTAGGTGCATGGGGCCATATTTATCGGGAAATCATTCTGGAACAAGATGTTCGTTTGTTTAGAGGTTCCAAGAGAGCAGAATTTCTGTTTATGGATGACAACAGTCCGCATCAATCAAACTTCGTAAGCGAATGTCTTCAATATGAGAATATCACCCCGTTTGAATGACCAACATTCTCTCATGACTTGAATCTAGAGCACGGGTGGAACATGCGTAGCGAACGAACTGGAGCCCAAAAACCACCCCTTACATGCCTACTTTGGTTCGCTTATTGGAGTGATCATCCCTAAGATCAGATCGGTAATTTGATACTCAGCATGCCTATGGATTGTACGAACTGTATTTCATCGCATGGAGGACATACAATGCACTAACCATCATACCAAACATGTAATATTAAGTTCCTGTTTTGTGGACTTGTGATTTCTTTTTAAATGAACATGAGTGTAATTATGAAATATTCAGTACTTACTTTGGACTCCAGGAGGTGAAGGTTGAGCTTGCATCATTACGTGAGATGGTTGTTCCTTTTGATGTCCTATAGTTCCGGGTTCGTTGGTATTCACATTTGCTTGGAATCCTATACCAGGTCCAGCCACATAATCAACCTGTCGATGGAGACCCTGAGCATCCTGGTAGCCATAAGAACCTCTTACCATTCCACTACCATCACCGACTTCGCTCCTGTAGTGGGTACTCATGGTATTTGGAGCCGTATACCCAAAGGCATAAGGTTGAGGCATGTGCTAACCAAATAAAGAGTAATGTTATGTGATTAATTTTTTTTCAACTTCAAGTTAACTTAGCCCAAAAGGCAATATCACGAAATGGTAATAATTTTAATTTTATTTATACTTATTTTGCACACATGGTTTTCCATAACCACCCCTTGACATATGTAACTTCAATCTTCTTTAAAATCTTAAAAATTGGTAATGGGGGAGATAAGATTAAGAACTTTAAATGTAGATAGCTTAGGAAACTAAAAGAACGTTAAAGGTAAAAGAAAAGTAGGTAAAACTTTTTTTTTCTTTTACTTTTTTCCCGATTGTGCATATTTTTGTCATTAAAAGCAGAAATTATTGCATCCAGTATAATTTGAGTACTGAAAAAAATATTGCTGAGAACTACGATGCATAAAGATTACAATAATTTGATTATAATATCATTTTAAAAAAATCGAAGATTAAGTTCAAATGATAGTATGGTATTAAATTCATGGTATTAAATGAAAAGAAATTTGAATAACTAAGATTTTTAAAACTAATCAAATTTTTCAGTTTATGTAAGTTTTCCTCTTCAGATTTAAAATGCACCTTTGTAGGAATACAAATGCAATTTTTAATTAATCATAATTACTTTTTCTAGCATTTTGCACTTTTTATTGAAAAGATTTTAAAATTTCTGCATTTTAATCCTTAGCATATAGCTATCAGTTGTTTGACTAAAAGCAATCATTTTTCTCAGTCCACAGATTATAGATACATTATGTTAAAGAAATATTAATATTAATAGCTTGACTTAAACATAATAAAATAATTTTACCATGCCTCCTCCATGTCCCATGCCTCCTCCATACCCCATGCCTCCTCCATATCCCATGCCTCCTCCATGTCCCATGTCTCCTCCATGCCCCATGCCTCCTCCATGTCCCATGCCTCCACTTATCGTACCTCCCAAACCACCAGCCATCGTAGGCATTCCATAGACGTATCCAACGAAGGAAAGAATTACAAATATTTTCTATAAGAGAACAAAAGCAATCAGATTTTTTTAACAACATTAATAAATATTACATCATAACTAACAAATTTAATAACACTTAAAAAAACATGATAACACTTTAACTTATTAATAAAGTTTTCATAAAAGAATTATGAAGCAGACGCTTAAAACCTTTGTGGTGTAATGTTTTATTTCTTAATATGAATTGAAATCACTTAAATAGGAATTTTAAAAAAAAATCAATTTTGTAAATGTAATTTTTGTTAAAAGATATTGTCACATGATTGTTCTAAAGCTTGTACCTAGTTAGATGAATCATTCTCTTTCAAAAATATATTTACCCTCCTAAACCACAACAAACTAAAATCTTTTAATGAAAACTTTAATAAACAATGTAACCTGTTTTCATCTTCGAATCACTGCGAACATCTATGAAACCTCTTGAAATAAAGAGTATATAAGTTAGTTTTTAAAATTTAATCGAAAAAAAATTTTTTTTTGCTTTAGACTTAAATTGTCTGTAAAATACAGTTCCAACTATTATTTAAGATATTTTCAGGGACATATATCTATTAAAAAATATATATCTATCAAGACATTTAAAGAGATATATCTTATTGTTTTTTAAAGAAATTAAGTTTATTTAACATGATGCAAAACTAAGATTGAATTTGCAATATCTCTGGCATATTTTAAAATTAAAAAAAAGTTTATTACCAAATTCATTCAATAAAATTTGCAGAAACCTAGGAAGCCTCTTATAATTAAGACTATAAGTTGGTTTTAAAAACTCAATAGAAAAATGTTATATTCTTTGCGTTAGACTTCAAATGTCTCTAAAATACAGTTCCAACTCTTATTTAATATACTTTCAAATAGTTAAATAAATAAACTTACCTTAGTAAAAGACATATTCAAAGTTTTAACTTCTTCGGTTTGATTTAGTGAAATTAAACGATTGCTGTCAGTTTATATACTCAAAAGATTTATGTCAAATACATTTTTTGTTATTTTCAAAAAGATAAACTGTCTAACTGAAACATTCCATGCAGCATGTATCATCACTTTAGAAATTTAAGAATTTTAATTAAAAACTGCGGCATGACATAAAAGACAATGTTATATTAATTCAATCGATGACTAAACGAAGTTTTACGTTTGGGACCACACCTAGATATTTAATAAAATCAAGCTTACTTGAGGTAGTCTTCAGTACCTAACCTAATAGCATTTTAAACTTTTTTAATGAAAATAATTTTTTCCGTTACTTTCATTACTTTACCTATTGTTCTTTACTCAGAAATTACTAATAAAAGAAAAACGCAAAATGCAGTTTCATTGTTTTTATTATATAATATTTGAACCTTCTTTCTTTTTAACTGTCAATTCTTCGATATTTTTAATGTCCATGGGCCTTTTTCAATAAAAGAAGAAGCTCTGCTGACCAACCTCCATGATTGTTTCGTCTTCATTCTCGAAAAATTTGATACTTTTTTTTTAACTGAAGAAAGTATTATTTTGTTAATAAAAAATCTAATTTTACGTTAGAAACCTTTAGTATCGAGACAAAATGAAAGAATATCAAATTTTAAAAATAACCTTAAATGTATTTAAACTGTACTTTCAAAATTAAAAAGGAACTGTACTTATAAAAAATTTAAAATTTACGAAACCAAAATGGGTGACAGAGTACACAGAAATAAATCTACTCGTGAACGAGTCTATTAAATAGTATTAGTATGAAAATAAGAAATATTTTTAACCTTCCCTAAATTCGTTTTCTATATTTTAAAATTATGTATACAATATAATTTCTCTTTCTTTCTCAACAACTCAATTAGTCAAGAATGTATGCACTTTCTTTTGGAGCAATTATATAATTTTTTGCAACAGCTCAACAGTAGGAGTAAAAAAGACTAAAAATCCTTCATTATATTGTTTTTCAAAATATGAAATCCTAACAACCTTTAACCTAAACCTTTAATCCTAAATATAATCCCTTACAAGTGGGCTCTATGTGTTTGTCTAAATGAAAATGGGATATATTTTGTGCTAAATGTGAAATATAAAGTGTGATGGTTTTAACTGCGTCGGTGTCTTATGAATTCAGAACCTTCTGTAAAAATTAGCCAAACTTCTTGATTTCAGGTAGATACTTTTTTACTCCCACGTTTTGAAAAATTCTAATAATTCAGTTTATAATCTTTCTATACTTCTTGCAGTGGGAAGATTGACTTGACTTAAAGGAAAAAAATAGTCTCTTACCTTCTTAACGTCGGAAAAGTAAAGTAGTTACAGTAAAATAGCCGGTAGTTACAAATAAAAGTATATTTTCGTATTTTTTTAATTATAAAAAACAGCTTAATAATTATAAAAAAAATGTCTTAGATAATCGGATTTATATTTGGATTAATATCAAGTAAAAAAAATTTTTTGAATTTTTCTTTTCATTTTTATTCGAAATTTTATCAATAATTGAATAGATGAGTCCGAAAACCAGTCATCTTCACTTTCTTTCAAAATTGATATTCTTGCATTTTTAAGTTTAGCTGACATATATATAATATATATATATA